CCGCACGGTCGCTCAAGACTCTTTGATACCTTTCACAGCTGGTATCGAGTAAATCACCGTATTTCTCAACACAAACACAATACTGCTCCCACGCGTAATTAAGGCTAGTTTGTACGGTTCGTATCTTGACGACGTTGCCGAAGTCTCCGAGATTTTCATCCAGTTGATGACACAGTTTCGTAATATTAGACAAATATCCCCTTCGGGATCTGTCCAACACCTCCAAACGCTCGAGTAGGATTCCTCGTTGAGTCATGACCTTTGATGTCACTTCGATTCACACGTACAAATATTTTCACAGTTAAGACTTTGGACGTCCACTAATCACAGGCAAGATGCTCGTATGGTTTTTACGAAGATGTCCAGGGGACAAAACGCGCCTTCACAACACAAGGGTTCTTGAACACAAGTTTAATAATCGAGAGTTGCACACTCAGCATATTTTCTTAACAACACAACAGGATCGGAATTGGAGTCTCATCTTTGGCTAACAAGCTTCACCTCGCAAGTAAAAACCTACAAAACAAACACTTAATCACTGTTGGAACGGGATTTGGAAATACACGAGCTCCTAAGACTCACCATACGATGAGAAACTCCCGGCGACTAGCGCGTTACAAAGCACATGGTTTCTTTCTCGCTACACGACGACACTGAGACGCGCTCACTGAGCATGCTGGGAGTATGAATTACAAAAATGGAATGGAACGGACTTAGGAAAACAAAATTGTTCTCTTGTTGAGGATTGGCCTCAACACCTCACTTCGTAGAAATAATTTAATATTAACATTGAGGCATGATCACTGGAGGCATGGGGTAATCTTTTTTAACCAATAAGGTTTCCAAAACATTAAGACGAGAAAATTAGTCAGAAATTAACTTGGAGGTGACTGACAAAGAACATTACGATGTCTATGAGAATGTTGAAATCTCTACCTATTAGAGTGGAACCAGAGACTAAGGCAAATATCCCCTTAATAGCTCACCTATATATTAAGTACCGATAAAAAGCGATTTATGATTCGGCTTTCGTAGGATATGAAGAATTAAGCAGATCGAGGAGGGTTTTATCCGTAGTAACGGATTGTACAAAGATTACGTGAATATTTTTCCGTTACCAAACATATCTTGTGTCCCTTGAATAGAGGTTCCACGGTATAAGGATTAAATGGAAAAAAAACTAATGGCGTGTGCGGTCTAATGACTTTCTCTAACGATACCAATTGCATCATCTCCGTTATTCGAACTACCATAAAATTTAAGTGTTAATAGTTTATACAGTTACAGCTAGTCAGTTGAAAGGACCTATAAAGCTTTAATGGCTTTCAGGTCCACAAAAATGTTTAAGTCAAATCAGCGATGGAAGTTTGGGTTTAAAAAATTTATCACCTTTTTCAACATGAACTACATTTTTCCAGGTCTTGACATACATTAGAACCCGCAATCGGCGACAAAATTGTTGAGACATTTGTACTCAAGAGGGTAACTTTAGAGAACAAGAGAATCCACACCCCTCCCCTGTCCCCTCTATTCAAAGTTGAGGTGTTTGTTGTTTTGTATAGGTTGAAATGTACTTTGTAAAATCGATGCGTACTGCTGACAGGTTTATGAAATCAAGAAAAGGAAGTAGAAAACAACAACATACAAAGGCCAAGGGAATCGAGCAATAATAACAAACTTCAGTCTCTCACTGAATTTTCTTCTTACTCGAGGCTCTGTTCGCTCAGTACTTGCTGGGTCAAAACCTAGCCGAAAACACTGAAATTCGTCGTGATCTTTTATCCTTGATTTGAATTGGTTCCGATTACTCCTTACGTTTTTCTATCGAACCCAATTTTGACCGAATATCCCGACAAAACTCGTCAAGAATATCGACATGGTTGCACATTCCGAACGTGCTCAAATGGTTGCACATTCCAAACATATTTGTGCTAACGCTTTGGTCCCCCTTCACGTAAGTAGTAAAATAATGTATAGCTTATAGGATTATTATAGCTGTTACGTCATTAGTTGAGATTATATGAAGTATTTATACGAATTTTCTACGCTCTCACAGAGTGTCTACGTTTTTCGCACTAGACAAGAAAACGCTCCGACTTCTTACACAAAGCAAAGCTGCATAGCATCGCTACATCTTTGCAGTAGATTATTTGCCCATATACTTATGAGAGTCTTGGAAGAATGTACTTTACAGTAGAAACTATGAAGTTAGGAGGAGACTAGCCACGAGTAACCACAAGTAACCAACTTTGTTGCTGCAAGGTCACCAGGCTTCGCACCAGACTAATTTAGCTCGCGTACGTGACTAGCCTGTGTTGCCTGTGCCCGAAGCCAGCCTCATTTGAGACTTTTGGATGTATGTATATCACCGTATTTGCCTCGATTTCAAGTTTGTCCCTCGAGATCGAGGCTATTTTGAAGCTAAAGAATACACGAAGAAAACTTAAAGCCCGGGAGATATCCTGTTTCGTACAGAAAGCCACGTTTTTGCAAGCGAAGAGTGTGAATTAAGGCAAGTGAAGGTAAAAAAATCCTTTGAATTGAAGCAATACGTTTCTCAGAATATTTCAAGCAATTCCTGGAACTCGTGACGGTAAATAAAGTCGGTGTTTTGGCTAAATTTGTATTCAGCCAGGCTTTGTTGTATTTATTGAATGCGTAAGTCTTGTAATAAGCTGATTTATTCTCACGGACTTTTATACAATGTAGCTTGATACAAACACTTATCTTGGTTCGAATTTCGGTTTTTATTCATCGCCTTCGCGTCGTGTTGCGTTACATGCACAGTTATTTAACAGTCAAATATCAACAATAGAAATAGACTGCAACTGATTCAAATTAATTGAAATGCAATGCTTCACTCGCAGTATTTTTAGTTTTTTTTTCTTTTAGTTCTAAAAGATAATTTAATTATTTCACATTATACTCAACTTGGTTTACCCGTGGACATTTCTACTAAACAGCAATTTTCAGCAATTATGACTGCTATTTTGCCTAGAAAACTATTTCATTTTCTGTCCTATTCACTTTTTTCCTTGTTTCGATAAAGGAAAGAATAAGAAATCGTGAGGCGCTACATCGCACGATGCCAAGGCATGTTAAGCGTGACACGAAATGTCACGCACTGAAAATAACGAAATCACCACATTCCAATGATGTTCTGTAGTAGGCATGATGACGTCAATCAAAACAAATAAAGAAATGAGTCGAATAAGTTTTCGTTAGGATGTATGGCCACTTGCGATTCAGACAATCGGTACCAAAATTGTTGCGACATTGGTTGGTTTCACACTAACCGGAGCCCTCAAGGACCGTATTTCCTCGAATAATAGCCGCGGGCGATTATTCGAGGAAAGGCAATAATTTCAAATATTCCTCACTGGAACTCATGCCTAAATATTTTCTTTTATTATGCCATTAAATCAAAAAATAATCACATCAAATTAACTGAACATGGGCTTTTTAAGTGTTCCAAATTTTATTAGTTCCTTGAATAATTTTCATAGCTTGAATCGTCAATGATCAGATTTGCTGGATCACCTTGCACTTACACTTGGACAGGGAGGGGATAAAAGGAAGATAAGATGGCGAAAGGAGCGGAGGGGAGGCGATTATTTCAAATATTTCCGTCCAAGGGAGGCAATTAATCGAGGGACGGCTATTATTTGAGGAAATACGGTATAATCTCGGTGTACTGGAAACTACTTTGAGTGTGAAGGGGTCAGTGAAATGTACCTACTTCAACTTCACTTGGTGACCACGGAAACGTTCGTAGTTCAGAGAAGTCGAAGTTCGCTGCCAAGTATGGTCGACACCACACTTGAGAAAACACTTGACCAATAACAAATGGAAGATATCTGAAAGCGATGTGCATGACGTGTACGTGCAGCAGTCCCGAGATTATAATGAACAGACATAAACATCCATGTCTCGGTTAGCTAAGAGCATCGCAGGAGAGGCCGAGCCCAAGCTCTAAGGCGATTTCTTTGCCAAAAAGCGCGTTGTTCAGCCATTCTAGTAAAATACTGAAGAAGATTTTGTTTTTTGTTTTGTTTTTCTGCCGCTCCTATAAACTACTCGTAAAAAAACGAAGCACTTAAGCATCTCTTTTAGGGTTAAAACCCTCTGAGTTAAAATGATGAAAAAATAAAGAAGAAACTACAAAAAGCTATTTTCCAACGCAAAGGCCTCATAGTTTTAGTTTTTGTCACGAGCAATCACGTTGTGATATGCATAAACGATTTCACCGCGAAAAATAATAGACAGCTTGTACTTCAAGTAATATTCTTTGTCAACAAGTGTGAAGCCATGTTTCCTACAGAGAGACTTTAAGATTTTCAAGTGCACATGCATTAAGAGCTTACTTGAGATTTACTTAGCTTCTAGTATGAAGCTAAGTATTGTACTCAAATAGGGTAACTTCAGAGAACAAAAGAATCCACACCCCATCTACAGGTAGCTAGAACAGCGGCACAACACTGCATGGGGGGCCGATGGGGGAGGAAAATCGTTTTTTCCCCGTTTTGAAGTCAGTAAAACGTCAGAAAGTCCCTTTAGGGTGAAGTGTCTCAAGTAATTTTGTTTCCGATTGTGGTTTTGTCGGCCTGTTTTGTAAAATGAAGATATGTAGTGAGTTTTAAAAACTGATGGTATTTGAGCAAATAAGCCTGACAAACCTGGTTCACAAAAAAATCCTTCTCCCGTTCTTCATCAGTACCAAACTGTTCCTTATTTTTGTTATCATCATTTTGAAGGTCCCTGGTGGCTTTTTCCTTCGGTTCTTTCTCCTCCGGAGCCCAGTTATCGTTACCTGGAATATTACAAAGTCTTTTCACCACCATCTGTGCCACATTGTTCGAACATCCCAAAAACCCTTGTTTATTCTCATCTGGGATGGGTTGCCAATTCTTAGCTGCATCTACATCCAATTGAAATTTTGAAGGATCCACTTCAATTCCTTCAGTACTTTTTTCTTTTAGATTAAATGGTAGACCAATGAGAGACTTCTTTAAACTTGTTTTCCCTGCCCGATCCTGGCCAATAAGAAACACTCGACCACGGTAAACATTGACAGCTCCATCTTTAAGAGCACTTTGATAAGCAAGCTGTGCTCTTTCTCCGAGTGCTTCTATTTCTGAAGGAACTGGTGGAAAAAAAAACGACGACTAAATAAAGATAATTAATGTCGTTCTAGCGGTTTAGTTTCCAGTCCAACATTGCCGATCAGAGCAGTACTTATGACATGTTTAGTTACATCACATGACTGACCTTTAGAGGCCATGGGGGAGGGGTTAATTTTTTTCTGAGACCAGGCTTTGCCCCACACCAATGATATGATAATCATTCATCTTTACTTCTTATTTTTCACGTAATATATCAAACATGAGATGCAGTGTTTCATCTGGTGATGAAACACTGTGTCGAATGTTTGATATTTCTTCTCAAACAAAATCATCTTTGAAGGAGAAATTAAGGATGCAAATACTAAGCAGTGTTTCATCCGATTTCCAAACACTCATTAAACATTAATTTCCTTTGTATTTTCTTAATGAATTATTAATGAGTCTGAGAGTATGGTTTCAATACTCTGTTGTAACCAGAATTTCCAGTGTTACAGATACAATATCATAGGTGACGAATTATTCCTTAATTTTGGCGCGAAATTTCAGCGTTAATTTGTAATTTCACATGTGAAATTACAAAATTGCCATGGCAACCCTCCGTACGTCTTAGTGTCAAGATGGCGACGAAGTGAATGAAGATGTCAGGGCACAAAAAGACGCTTTAGAAAGCCCGAACACACAAGAGAACATCAAGAAGGATTCTAACAGGTATTTTGCCGAAAAAGTCTGAAAAATTCTGAACTTTGTACGCCAAATTTAAGGTCTAAACATTTGAGAGAGTGGAGTTCTCGATCGATACGATCCAGGATAGACATATTAAAAATCCAAGATTGCTAACGTAATTCGTCACCCATGATATTAATAGGTAATAAAATGGTATACTCGTGAAATTAGGGAATAATTTCACTTGCGTTTTGTCCAAATCCTAATAATTTCCCGAGCCTTTAGTATTATTATTAGTATTATTAGGATTTGGACAAAACGCGCGTGAAATTATTCCCTAATTCACTCACTCGTCACTATTTGATTACACATACTAACACACCATTCAAAAGTTGTGGGAATTTAACAAATTGACGCCAGTTTTTTATCATCTGTCCTCTTGTTGATGATAAAATGACATCATAACATTGTTTAACACTACCATTTTTTACAATAACAAAAGCTCAAGATAGTCAAATATTGCCGGTAAAAATGAAGAAAACAAAAGAAAATTTATGACTTTTTTACACTAGCGCAATGCTATTGTCAACAGGACGCTATGGAGCGTACACTTCGGCGTCGTGGTTGTGGACCTGATTAACTGTAAATGTGGAGGAATAGTAAGAAATAATACATGGTAAGAGTAAGGTGTCAATTTGTGAAATTATGGGATTTGTCAGGATATTCTGAAAAGAGCAACACCCAAGAGGCATACTTGCCAAAAACTAGCATTTCGGGGCAAATTGTATCTGAGATATTAGCCCAGGTATGCTCTGATGACTCCATACAAATCCTTCTAAATTTGACTTGGGTCTAAACGTTTAGACCCAAGTCTATTTATACGGCGTCGATTAAACCAGGAACACGGAACATTCCGTAGCATGCGAAAAATAAAAATAATTTTCATTAAAAAAAAGTAAATAGAATAAAAATAATAAAATAATATTTGTAAAAATTAATAATAAACAAAGTAACATAAAATAACATAAAAACAACAAATGAAGAAAGAAAAAGAAACCGATATCATATCCGAGTAGAAGAAATTGTTCTTGTTTTTGGAATGTTCCGCGTTCCGGGTTTTATCGACGGCCGGTCAAATATGAGGTTACTGGCGGTCAGTAACAAGTCTAACAAAACAAACAGTGAAAAAAGAATTCTCTACTTTTTTTACATCAGGCTTCAAAAACAGCATAATCGTCTTATCTACTGATAAAAGATATGTAAGGCATGGGTAAGGAGTCAATTACGTTGAGCATGGAATTGGCTAAAACCAATGTTACGAGTTCGAATGTTTTGAGGATAATTATTCACTGACTATCAGCACGCACGGATTTCGTATTAACACAAGGAAGTTTAATACCAAAGGAACGCAGTCTTTACAGAGCTTTAAAACACAGCATCCGCCTACACAAACTTGACTTGAACTTAAGTAAAACTAAACAGCCTCTGCCAATAATCACAAACTCGCACTTGAACTTCAGGTATCTTACGGCTTCCGCCAACTTGTAAGCACAGAACTTGAAATTCGACCTTCATCACACTTGACTAAACACAGCACTGCAGCTCATGGGAAAAGACTTAGTTCGTCAAAACAACTTGCTTGGAAATTGTATACTGTTTCACATAAGGTTCTAGGAAATACTAAACAGGCGAATAGTAGTAGCTTTTCGACATATTTTATGATTTCAGTAACTGACGCAAATCTGCTGACTCGCGCTGAAATGTCAACATGCCCTAATTAATTATTCATGAATGATGCAAAAACGTAGAGAACGTTCGAGAAAGTCGCCCAACGCATGACAGCAATTTTATTACGTAGCACTCAATAAAGACAAAACGTCTTGCAGCATTTTTTAAGGTGCGCTAACTCGTGAAATTTTTTTCAACACTACTTATTCTTCGAGTAAATTAAAGACTAAACTCGAAGTGATCTCAAGATATCTCGAAGTAATTGCGGTCTCATTTCGTGAAATAGCCAAACAAGCCGAAAAGTCACGAACTTGCGCGCCCAATCTTGTCCCAAAACTAGTGCATAATTTCATTGCTATTTTTCATATCCCAAACTACCTTGGGTCGCAGTGGCGCAATCGGCTGATCCCTCAACTTAGAGTCTCCTCTGATCTGACGGGTCACACAGGTGAGTCGGTTCAAATCGCGGGAAAGCCAAATTAATAATTCTAAGCTAAAGAATAAATCAAAGAAATCGAAGTGATCTCTTGATATCTCGAACTAATTTGGCTCTCACTTTGTCAAATGACCGAATAAAACCGAAAACCTACAGACTTTGCGTGCCCAATCTTGTCTAAAAAAAAGCAACTTTGGGACATTCCTGAGCGTTGCGAATCCTTTACTTCGCGCTCCGCCGAAATAATAACTTTTCTCGCTTGGTGATAGGCTACTGATGACAAAAATTTGACAGGTTAAGTCACGCCACTGCCTTGCATAAATTAGGAATTTAAATTGTTTAGCAATTCAAACAAGAATGGGAACAGCGCTATTTTTTGTCTTGACAAAACGGAGGCATTTTAGGGCTGTATAAAGTGGTTAACTAGCCCAAGGTTAAATATTATTTCAAGGAAAGATTTTGAAGCTGTTGAAGTAACCGAACAAGTCGAAGCAATGTACAGTTGAGCTGTCTGTAGATTAAACTATAGCCTGGCAGTTTTGAGGAGCTGCTGACCAATCAGTACGAACAGAAATCGTGTACGTACGGCCGGTTGATCACTTCAGTTCTTATCTTGTTTGTTGTCCTGAACGCCATTCAGCCATATGAGCTGTGTACAATCAAACCGAAAGGTGGGTTTTAAAGGCATGAAGTTTTCAATTCAACTCACCAGGTACTTACAAAGTTTCATAAAGTTTGTACAAAAATTTTGTTTAGCTTTCGGAAAAAAGGATTAGAAACACACTCAGTACTTGCCAAAGAAAACTATCGTTAAAAATCTCTTTGTTTTTAATAAACTATACTTTCAGAATTGTTTTCTTACTTTTTTAACTTTAAAGCTATGTAGGAATATTAAACACTTAATATCTAAATCGCAGTTTTGAAACTGTACAATTTAAAGCACGTCGTCTCCGCTTTTGGAAACTAAGTGTCTTGTTTAGTTTCCTCTGCTAGAGAATCCAAACAGGGCGCCAAGTCTTGCATCAGAGCATAGTTAGTAGAAGAGACTAGTTAAGCCTGGTTTTCATATTATGTCGGGAAAATCCCACACGATTTTACTTTTTGCCGACCATCCCAGATTTTGCCGATATATCGGATAATCGCCAGAAGCCTGCCCAGATTCTCGAGAGACGTCACGTTTATTTGTGTTAGAGGGACCGGAGCCCAGCAATTTAGGGGATTGGTAATGAGCGAGATCCATCGCCGACGTCCCCGACGGTACAAATGTGAGTTGTCATTTGTCGGGAATGATCGCCGACTATCGCAGAAATCTGGGAGGCGCCGGGAAAATAGAAACGCTCCTGATTCTCCAGATTTGTCCCCGTCTATATGATCGGGGATATCTACGGTTTCGAGTTTTTATTAGTCGGCAAAAACCTGGGACAGTCGGGAAACAGTCAATTCGCCTTTCGTCTGGGATTTTCCAGACATATGAAAACCAGCTTTAGGAAACCCGGCAAACATCAAAGTTGAAAACAATGGTGCTGTAGGCTATGTTGGAAGCTCCCTGACCGTGCACAGTCCTTTTTTTTTTCTGTTCACAAATTATGACTGAATAAATTAATGCAATGTTTCTATTGGTCAATAACTTCAAAATGATAGGAATGCTCTTGAACGTTGTGCTCGGTGAGGCCCAAAAAAGCTAACAAAAACCTATAACAAAGGGTTTCCCAACCATTCCACTTTAATTAACTATGATCAGAGCTATCTGGCTATTTTTCTCAGAGGACAGAAAGTGAATCTTCTACGAAACTAAACTAAGCAAAAACAAAGAAGTTCGGCATTCCTTCGGCAAATGACCGCGTCTTGCATAAATTAAAATTGTACGTGTCTGTCCTCTTATTGATAATAAAAATTAGCCAATCAGCATGCGAGACATAATTCAGTTGTTGTAAAAATTATATTTGATTGGTACTCCCTTTTATTAGGGTAAAGGTGAAACTGAGGTTGATCTTGTTGATGTAATATGTTGTTTAAGATGGGGTACAATGTCGGGCGTTCATTAACCTTAGAAATTACCCAAAATCCTGTCATTTAAGGTGACTCGACCCAGTTTTTTTTGGGGGGGTACCATCCTACTTTGAAGCTCTCTGGTATCCCCACCTTTACTTTTATCGTAAGTCTAACACATAGAATGGATAACATATAGATCAATCTACAATATAACATAAAATTTTTGGCGATCGGAGTAAATGTCACGTGGTTATAATGCCACGCCCCTTTGAGGTCTGAGTCGAAAATCTGCTGTTGCCGGCATTTTTTCGTGAAAATCTCTCGGCTACACATAGTGCGCATTAGTGCCTTGCGCTGAACAGAGTTTCACCAAAATCGCAAAGACCCAATTCGAGAAATTCAGCGGTTTCCAAATTTAGGTCATAATTTATGCGAAAATGATAAGCAAACTTTACACGGATTATATCTAATAAACTATGAGATTCATCTCTTTATTTTGGGCATCGTTATAACAGATGGGTCCTTGCAAGTCAGCAAAACGCTTTAGGGCCTTGTAAATGCGCGCGATTTCGAGCAAAGCAAACATATAGAAATTATAGTTTTCGCTATTTGTTGACGTTTGTCAGCGTTTAAGAGTCCTTCTCACGAAAAAAGCATTTTCTTAAAAATTCGTAGTTTTTTTTCCTTCAAATTTTTTCAGGGCCACAATTGATTAACTAACTACCCGGACTCTGAATTTCATGGTCATTGAAAAACTGTGACATTATCTTCTATAAGCCCAAACTTGAGTAAACATTGAAGATTTTTAGCGTTTTGGCTGAGTTTGTGCTTGGGGAGTTGTCTATTGTTTCTAGTCTGTCATTATACAGCATTCTTGTTCAGCACGCGTGCAAAGACCGCGCTTGGCTGACTTCCGAATGCTCACCGAGATATTCCCGCCACGACTTGGTTTAATTATTGGCTTGCATTAAACCTCTGAAAAAATGATATTTTTTTAATAGTAAGTAGATTTAGTATGTAGCACTTCTTGATTTTTTTGCAAAGGCACAAGAAGCACGAGAATTGATTAAAAATTGTGACTTAAACCTCTATGTATCACGCGTTTGCCTGTCTCACTGTACCAAAATTATTATATCTCGGTGAGCATTCGGGAAGCCAGCCAAGCGCGGTCTTTGCACGCGTGCTGAACAAGAATGCTGTATAATGACAGACTAGAAACAATAGACAACTCCCAAAGCACAAACTCAGCCAAAACGCTAAAAATCTTCAATGTTTACTCAAGTTTATTTGGCAAATAGTTGAGTTTTACCCTGGCTTTTTTGAACATGTTAATATGTGGAACCAACTTTCTTTTCTTTGAGAGATTCGAAAAATCTGAATGCTACTGTATAACTCAGCTCACCTGCAATATCAATTGCTACATACACTCCTTTCTTCTTCAACTTCAGGGCACATCTTATTGCATCAACATTTAAAGGATTGCCTCCCACATACAGATGCGTCAGCTCCCTCAGGTCACAAACCTCAGCAGGCAGTTCTTTTAGTTTATTTGCAACCAAGGACAACTCTTTCAGCTTGGTCAGCCTCTGTATAGTGGAAGGTAAACCAACCAATTGGTTGTCATTCACCCACATCTTTCTCAGCTCCCTCAGGTCACCAATCTCAGCAGGGAGGTTTGTCAGTTTATTTCCATTCAAGTCCAGCTCTTCAAGCTTGGACAGCTTCTGTATACTGGTAGGTAAACCAACCAACTGAATGTTCCTCACCCACAGCTCCTTCAGCTCCCTGAAGTTACTAATCTCAGCAGGTAGTTCAGTTAGTTTATTTCCATCCAAGCCCAGCGTTTCCAGCTTTGACAGCCTCTGTATACTGGTAGGTAAACCAACCAACTGGTTTTTCCTCACCCACAGCCCCCTCAGCTCCCTCAGGTTACAAATCTCAGAAGGTAATTCACTTAGATCATTTTCATCCAAGTTCAGCCTTTCAAGCTTGCTCAGCCTCTGTATACTGATAGGTAATCCAACCAACTGGTTGTTCCTCACCTTCATCACCCTCAGCTCCCTCAGGTTACCAATCTCAGCAGGAAGCTCAGTTAGATTATTGTTATACAAGTGCAGCTCTTCAAGCTTGGTCAGCGTCTGTATACTGGTAGGTAATCCAACCAGCTGGTTGTTCCTCACCCACAGCTCCCTCAACTCCCTCAGGTTACCAATCTCAGAAGGTAATTGAGTTAGATTATTGTCACCCAAGTGCAGCTTTTCAAGCTTGGTCAGCCTCTGTATACTGGTAGGTAATCCAACCAACTGGTTGTTCCTCACCCACAGCTCCCTCAACTTCCTCAGGTTACCAATCTCGGAAGGTAATTGAGTTAGCTGGTTGAAATTCACATACAGCTCCCTCAGCTCCCTTAGTTTACCAATCTCAGCAGGTAATTCAGTTAGATTATTTGCACTCAAGTCCAGCTCTTCAAGCTTGGTCAGCCTCTGTATACTGGTAGGTAAACCAACCAACTGGTTGTTACTCACCCACAACTCCCTCAGCTCCGTGAGGTCACCGATCTCAGCTGGTAGATATGTTAATTTGTTACCATTCAGTTTGAGCACAATAAGATTGTTCAGGTTGTTTACGTTGTTCAAGTTGTTCAGGTTATTTTCCTCCAGCACAAGTTTCTCTATTTCACTCAGTTCGGTGACCGCAACAGGTACCCTGGAGAGTCTTTTTCCTTTCAGCTCCAAAACTTTTAATCCATCTTCTTTTTTCAAGTAAGCTCTCAATTTTGAACTGGAATAATACTCCATGTTTTAATTTGTTAAAAAAGTCTTGACAGTTCTTCTTATCATCTATAAATAATAAGCATAGAAAGCAATACAAAAATTAAAATCATGTGATCAATATAGGTGAATTTTAGAGTACAAAAATAAAAGAAATCTAGAACATGTGGTGTTAGTGCATTTAAACATCTTTTATTAATGGCAAATACTATTACTGTACTTACTCGGGCCAAGGTAGCTTATTAAAATAGCATTTCATCCTGTTGACCGGTCACAAATGTGCAAAATAGCCCTTGTTTGGTGGTTTGTCATGGAATAAGGTGAACAATGCCATATCACATCATTATTAAGAAAGAAATTGCAAAAAAACACATTTTCAATTGTGAAAAGCGTTTTGTACGGTGGCCCGTAAGGGACATTGCAATCTTTTTTTTTTCTTAAGTTATCGCGCGATAAAATGAGCAGTTATCGCGCGATAAATGAGAAAATTTAAAAATTATCGCGCGATAATTAGTCAGTTTATCGCAGTAGTCATGAACAAAACTGACAAAATAAGAGAGGGTCAAATACAAATCGGCGACAAACATAACTACAGACCTCTCTCTCAACCCATGGTGAAAGAAACGCACAGCAAGGTCTTGCGCCTAATTACGGATCTTCACCATGAAAATCATATTGATGACATTACAAGAAAGTGGCTATCTCAAACACCTAATCTCAAACACCTAATCCACAATTCTAAGCAGAACCGTTTTTAAACCTACAGTTTGGAAAAGCTACATTGACGATATCTTTTCCCTGTGGGACATAAGTAAACCAGACATCGAAACGCGAAGCGTACATCGAACAAGCAAACTCACATCACCCAACTATCAAATTCACGGCCGAAATATCTGACACTGAGACTGTGTTTTTAGACACGGTTGTATACAAAGGCACAAGATTCAAGGAAAAATCTATCCCTGAAGTAAAGACACATTTTAAAAGAACGGAAACCTTCCAGTACACACATTTCACCTCTTGTCACCCGCCGAGTGTTAAAAAACGATTTGTCAAAGGAGAGACGTTGAGAATCCTACGAACAAACTCCTCAAAAACTACTTTTGAGGAAAATATTTCAAATTTCAAAAAACCATAACAGGCCAGAGCCCCGATTTTAAGTACTAGGCGACTTTGAAAGACGCGTGCTTCACATATTTGTGGCGGATTAGAATGCCGGCTTAGTCAGAGGCCCTTTGTTTAAAACATGGCGGGATACTAGCAGCTTAAGGCAAGCATGTGCCTTGTAGCTGTCAACATAATGCTTTTTAATTACATTCTGTCATAATTAACAAAACCCGATCCATGTTTGATTGAAAATAATTGTACAAATCTGGTACTAGACAAACCGCTTTTAAAAAACAAAAACACAAAACTAGTTTATGGTTATTTCTCATTAATTTCACTTATCAAAACAAATATTTACTTTTATCAGTTTTCCCGTTTCTTTCAAAACATCCTTCATTTCCGGGCGTTTCACTGTAGTCAATCAAAGACGCGTTTTATCGGTCTTCTTTTTCGCGGGAATATCAAAATTTCCATCTTTCAAAACGCGATGAACCAAAGCTCGCAGGATACGAAAGCGCCAAAGGCGCACGATGCAGTCCCGGTGTTTTGTGAGCACCCGTTAAAACTATTGAACGCCAA